CTCGAACATACTCGATTTATTATTTTGTAACTATCCTGGCATTGTTAAACGAGTTGACGTCATTCCTGGTATTAGCGATCATGACGCTATTGTGGCCCCGCTTAGTTTTCAATCTCCCCGTAAAAAAATTGAATGCAAATCGAAACGTATTTCTGTACGCAAGGGGTGATTATAAGGGTATCAGTTCTGAACTTCGCGAGAGCTTCCTTTCTTTCGAATGTATTGCCGAAGAAATGAGTGTTGAGGACGTGTGGATGCTTTTTAAACAGAGAGTTATTAGCCTCACAGAGAAATACATTCCGAGTATTGACATACGTAAGCTAAAGAAAAGAGAAAAACCATGGATCAATGGTGGTCTATTAAGAATTTAAAAAAAACGCAAGCGTGCGTACGCAAGATATAAAAAGAAAAGTTCGGCCTCAAACCTCCAGATATTAAAGGAATTGACTACGACGTACAAAGAGACCGCAAAAAATCTAAACAGGATTATCTTCAACGTCTTGAAGACACGATGAAAACTAACAATAAGCAGCTCCGGAAGTTTATGAAGCTCTGTGGTAATGATCAGATGGGAATACCTGATATAATGGTACATGGCGAACTACTCACTGACGCAGGGCAGAAAGCTTGCGTTTTTAACAATTATTTTAAATCAGTATTTCTGCCTCCAGAAGATACAACACTAGAAATGTGTTCAAGCAATTACGATGTGATGCCACCCGTAGAAATAAGTATGGAAGGTGTATTTAATCTTTTGGAGCATATCGATGAAACCAAAGCGATGGGCCCTGATAAAATTTCCCCTCGGGTTCTAAAGAGTTGTGCAGACGCAATAGCGCCTTACCTTTTCATAATATTTAACAAGTCATTACTTAATGGAGCTTTGCCAGGGGACTGGAAATTAGCTAATGTTACTCCTATACATAAGAAAGGTCCCAAAAATGATGTCACGAATTACAGGCCGATCTCCTTAACGTCGGTTTGCTGCAAGTTGTTTGAGCACATTTTATATTCCCAGATAATGCAACATCTCACGTTTCAGAACTTTTTTATTGATTATCAACATGGATTTGGAAAGGGTTATTCTTGTACTACACAACTCACTGAATTTTATCATGATCTTGTTACTACCGTTGATAGGGGTGAGCAAATTGATTGTGTGTTTCTCGATTTTAGAAAAGCGTTTGATACAGTATCGCATTCCCTCTTAATCCAAAAATTGGCACTTTTGAATCTAGATACTTCGGTACATAATTGGATACAGGCATATTTGTGTTCGCGTCGGCAATGTACGGTTCTGGATGGTGAAACATCAGATTTTGTTGTAGTTACCTCTGGCGTGCCACAGGGGTCGGTACTTGGACCTTTGCTGTTCTTAATATTTATAAATGATATTCACGTTGGCGTGACCTCTCAGCTAAGATTGTTTGCTGACGATTGTGTATTATATAGATGTATAAAAAACGATGAGGATTCCACACAACTACAGGCTGATTTGGATCAAATTGAACTCTGGTGCAGTCTATAAAAATTGCAGTTAAACGTCAGCAAATGTGTACATGTCACCTTCACCTGCAAAAAAAATAAACTTCACACTCAGTATTATTTAAATAATGAACCACTAAAAAGTGATGGTAAAGTAAAGTACCTGGGGGTGACCTTATTAGCAGACTGCAAGTGGAATGCGCAAATTGACGATGTCGTCATGAGGGCGGGACGGGCACTCGGTTTTATCCAGCGTAATCTAAAAAGGTCTACACAAAAAATAAAAGAACTTGCATACCTTACCTACGTTCGACCTCTTACAGATTATGCTTGCACTGTGTGGGATCCTGCTCAGCAAAATCACATAGACGCTTTAGAGAGGATCCAAAATCGTGCGGCACGCTTCGTCCTGGGGCTGTACGACCGCTTTTCGAGCGTCACGGACATGAAGAGTACATTAGGCTGGGATTTGCTGACATTCAGGCGGAAAGATTTGCGCTTAAAATTTCTATATAGCATTTATAATAAACACACTGGTATTAACGGTTTTCATTACCTTCTACCCCCTTACTATATTTCCCAACGTAAAGATCATATCCACAAAATACGCGAATATTCCACCAGGACGGAACTGTGCAAAAATTCTTTCTTTGTTAGGACCATTAGGGATTGGAACAATTTAAGTGTTGAAACTGTTTGTGCCGCAAATGCAGAAATGTTTTTTTCTATGTTGTTCGCCCCCTGCAATAATGCCTCAACGGCGCTGCAGGAGCTACCTAAATAAAGAATAAAGGGGCTAGGGTAATAAATCGTGTGAAATAAACACAGACGAGATATTTTTCTTCGGAAAGAGAGATCAGGCAAGGAGAGGGACGTTTTCATGGAAGTTACACTGGCTGTACGATGATAGTTCGAGAGTATGAAACGGGCAGAACGATTCTGAATAGATTTGACAGCTGATGCAAGGGTGACACCGGGGCTTCAGATAGAAGCTGGATATTCCAGTTAAGGACGAACTAGGGTTTTATAGAGAAGTTTCAACGAAAGAGGAGGAAGCGAAAAGTTACGCTTGAGATAGCCGAAAAGCCTATTTGCGTTGTTAGTGACATATTGGACGTGGATATTCCAGGAGAGGTCATTGGTTATGTGAATGCCGAGATATTTATAGGAGGACACAGAAACTAGAGTAGAATTGTTGATAGAGTAGGAAGGAAAAGAGTTGTTATGACGAGATACTCTCATAGATGTACATTTAGTGATGATAAGCTCCATGAGCGATTCCTTGCACCATTTGCAGATGTTGTTAATATCAACCCAAAGGACGGAAATGTCAGAGTCGTTAACACAGACCTAATATGTCTACTTATATCCCCATATACAACCGTATATAAAATATATCTTGGTCATATATGGCATTTCTGTAAGGGTCGCCTCTGGAAGAATAAAGCGCCGAGGGGGAACTGCGCGCTTCTTTGCATTTATTATTTTTATTTGATCCGCCTTTTTATACCTCGTGACACCATTCTAACAAACTCACTGGTTAATCGGTCGGACCACAGCATCGCGTGAAAAAAACAACAAAAACGCCAATCTTATGACCAGAACGGTTGCCACGGTCGGCATCGTTAAAAAGAAGAGAACAGTCGGACCCAACAACAAAATGATTTAACAAAGTGAATAAAAATTTAAAAAAAAATAATGAGAAGGAAGCCGTTCTCAGGCGGCGTGTTCTTTGATGAGAGGTGTTGCTCGCAATCTTCCTTATTCGTTTTCCTTTTTGTTTCTTTACCCTAGAGGTTGCCGCGACCCTTATTCGAAGCTGATTTGTTAATTCAATAACAAATAACGCGTTGGAGCATAGGATGGAGGGAGGCTTGGCGTCCGAATTCAACGTAGTCTAAAAGGAACAAAAAGAAAGAATGCACAATATATAAGGCATTCCAAGACCATTATACTCCGCACTCGGCGAGTCCTCATGACGCCGCCGATGACCGTTAGGCTATTTATTTTGTTTCTTTATATTTTTTATCGCGACGACAACTCCACCGTGCCTCAGAGCTTCCAGCGGAGGTACGGCAGTTTTTAACAATTATTACTATTGTCGTTTGAATGGCACCCTTCCTATGCTGCTTCGTTCCTGACACCATGAAAGCATTCTTTCTGTTTAGATCATAGGCGCGAAAAATCCGCACTGACTAGGTCCTGAGTAACAATACCCAGATGTTGGCCGAGACTCTGCATTACTCAGGCCCTACCTAGTCTGTGTAGAGTTTCGCACATACGACCTAAAAATAAAGAATGACATACACACATCACATGCGCACGCAATCAAAGTTTGTCCAGAAGTCCAGTGTCCCCGATGTGCTTTTTTAGCGCTTTCAAAACGATACACCGATACCGCCAAGTGTTCTCAACAGTCGGAACGTTCTTTTCATGTCTTCTCGTTGGGTGCTGTGTTTTACGCTTGCACACAAAATAGCCTAATAGCAAAGCTAAATAATTAGACTAATTAATTATTGGACTAATTGTATCCACAAACCAATTCAACCTTGAACTAAACTTTTCATTTTTTATACGTGGTGCTAACTTTTCCCGCCTCATATTTTCATGGCGTCAGAAATGAAGCAGCATAGAAAGAGTGCCTTTCAAACGACAATAATAATAATTATTATAAACTGCCGGATCTCTGGTAGTCGCGATAAAAAATCTAAAGAAAGGAAATAAATAGCCTAACGGTCGTCTCGTAGGCGGCGTCATGAGGCCTCGCCGAGTGCGGAGTATAACGTTCTTGGAATACGGTATATATTGCGCATTCTTACTTTTCTTTTCTTTTAGACTACGTCGAATTCGGACGCCAAGCCTCGCTCCCTCCTTCGTTCCGACGCGGTTTTTGTTATTGAATTAACAAATCAGCTTCAAATAAGGGTCGTGGCATCCTGTAGGGCAGTAGTCAATACTTCAGTTTTGGCGAGTTGGTTAAATATGCTAATACTTCACAGCGCACAACAAGACAGCACACGATTGCACAGTACTGGGACGAAGCAAGAACAAACTAACTATACTCGTTTTCACCTTAAGAAAAAAGTGGGTGTGTCCCTCTCGTCGCATGCTTATTGGTCGCATGCCGTCGCACATATTATTCCGTTCTGCGAAGTAGTTCCGACAAACGTTTGATATTTGGGAGGCTAGCGTTATTTAAGCTTAAATAAATGTGTTATTCTCAGTAGGATAAATAATACACCTCCTTAGTACGCGTCTATTCACGTAATTCAACGTCTCACAAGATCTGAGGATCGATGTTCGTAGCCAGCCGGCCAGCCGCTGTTGCTCGCCTTCCAAAATGGCGACTCCAACAACTCTGGCTGATAGGCCCGTGATGGCAGCACTCTTTCCTGAAGACGTTTCCCCTCCGGTGTATTACAAACGTCACGCAAGTGGAAATGTCCTGTCGAGCCAGACAAGGCAGTGTGTTTTGAACGTTTATTCTTCGACCCGGCGGCAGTACCAAGGAAAAAATGTGGTGGAAGTCGTCAACCTGGACTGCCGCCGCAACGGGGATCATAGTTAGCTCGGTCTACAAGATCAAGCGTGGCTTCAAACGTGCCAACGGAGCTGTGAAATCTCCTTCAAAGAAGTACCCGAAATCCGCCGAGAAAAGGAAGAGGATTTCAAAACACGACGCGTGCACTTTGACGGCCGTGAGAAGCTGCCTGCACAATTTCTTCCGTCGGGGGGAGATTCCAACGTTGAAGAAAATCGCGACCCGTCTCCAAGAAGACGACGTGCTGCCGTCCTGTTCCGGGTCTACCCTGTATCGCCTGCTGAAGGACATGGGTTTCGAGAAACAGAAACGGAATCGCAACTCCTTCCTAATTGAGAGAGAGCACATCGTTGAGTGGAGGCGGCGGTATTTGAGGGCAATCGGAAAGCACAGAGCCCAGAACCGCAAGACCTACTTCCAGGACGAGACTTGGGTGAACGCCGGCCTTACAGTTGACAAGGTGTGGACTGACAGCACCATAAAGTCAGCAAGGCAAGCCTTCATGTCTGGACTGACGACCGGGCTAAAGGTTCCTTCTGGAAAGTGTGAAAGAGTGATTGTCACCCACGCAGGTAGTGACACTGGCTTTGTGTCCGGCTGCCTGAACGTGTTCCGTGGGAAAAAAAAGGGGGACTACCACGATGAAATGGACTCGAACAGGTTTGAAGCATGGTTTCTTCATCTGCTGGACCACATCGAGCCTAACAGCGTAATTGTTATAGACAATGCGCCATACCACAGCAGAAAGGCTGAAGCAGTTCCCACAACTGCAACAAAGAAGGGCGAGATCCAGTAGTGGCTCTCTTCCAAGAACCTAGACTTGACTGCCACAATGAAGAAAAAAGACCTTCTGAGCATCGCAGCAACGGTGAAGGATCGCTACACAAAGTACAACGTTGACGTCATGGCTACGGACGCCGGACGCACAGTGTTGAGGCTCCCACCGTACCATTGCGAACTAAATCCCATAGAGTTGATATGGGCACGAGTCAAGCGGGAGGTAGCCTCCAAGAACATCACATTCAAGCCCAATGACGCCAAGCGGCTCTTGAGGGAAGCAATGGACAACGTAACAGCTGTCCATTGGCATGAGTGTGTATAGCATGTGAAAAAATGGAGGCGAAGTTTCGAGAATGTGATGTCCCAAAGTCGAACCTCGAGCCAGTCATCATACCCCTCGATGCAAGCGACACGGAGGAGGAGAGTGGAGACGACGACGAAGCTGACGACGAGGATGAGGATGAAGAGATCTTCGGTGTTCAGCCTTTAGAATGGAATTGACCATGAACTAATGTCCTCCTACGATATGTTTTCTTCTGAAAGTGGCTAGAACTTTGGACTCTGTTTGTCATACCCCAGTACACAGAGCGGTCCTTTTAAGGACCATTCACAAAACAGGCTGCAGTTGCGCTAGTTGGTACATAATTTAGGTAAATGGTCAGCTAGAACGATAGGGACAAAACACAGACAGAGAGAAACAGAGACATACACACCGCTGACTATGAACTAAGACTTTATATTTCTTCTTCATCACTTCGACCGAAAGATTCACACCTAAAGTAATGCCAATTACTTTAGGTGTGAATCTTTCGCACGGCAATGGGCAGCTCCTTGCAGCCCATTGTTGCACATGTGGGTGCACGCCTAGTTTTAGCAGCGTCTCCATTATTAACAGACACAGAAATGCCTGTGCGCGCGAGATTCTCGAGGCCCTGGCCACTGAGCAAACCGCCGATGACTGCGTAAGCATGCCCTCCATCACGGTCAGCAAGAAAGAAAAACAGTTTTTGCAGTGTGGCACGGCCCCGTGTAAGGGAATAAGAGGGAAATGTGTCGGCGGTGGTATGTCGGTTGGATCAGGGAGGTGTTAGTGACCAAATTTAGTAATTTAATGTAATTAATTAATTTTATTTAGTATTTTAATTTAGTAGTGTAATTTAAGGGTTTAAGATGATTCATTGGCATTACTTTAGGTGTGAATCTTTGGGTCGAAGTGATGAAGAAGAAATCTAAAGTCTTAGTTGATAGTCAGCGGTGTGTATGTCTCTGTTTCTCTCTGTCTGTGTTTTGTCCCTATCTTTCTAGCTGACCATTTACCTAAACCATTCACATTCTGCAAAATCGGATTCCCGACTTCATACACGCCTAACCTCCAGTGTCATGTTGTTGTCGTGATTCAACCTTTCATTACGTAATAGCCTTGTTCATGGCTTCTCGAGGTCTTTAAAATCAGCTGTATGTATCCCACTGCACCGTGGATAACCAGTCCAAAGATTCACCCTAAAAAAACGTTTGCAGTTGTACTGCACTCGCTAATTTGCCAATCTACAGCAGAGGTGCCAGGTGCCATTTTGCCTTTTTGCCTTCTAAACATATATGCATACAATTACACTTTATGGGTCGTTTTCATTCAAGAAAGAAGACATAGTGTTGTTGGCATGCCGAAAGTGGACCATTGTTCTGGAATGTGACCCTGAGCGTAACAATTCACTTGCTCACCTCATGCAAACTCAGTGTCACTTACACCTCATTTTGACGTCTAAACGTCATGTTCAGCCCAGTCTTTCATTGAGATAGCTCTGTTATTTTCAGTGATCGGTTCCCCATGCGGTTTGTGGGAAAGTAAACTCACAAACTGCCATCCACATGTCTTGGGGTCGCTCTGGCAATAAACGTATCTCTCATCCACCATGCTGTTTCAGATTATAATCGGGATTCTTATCGCCATCCTCACACAGGGCCACTCGGGCAACAAGCAGAAGCTTTGATGGGATCCTGGAAGAACGTATCTCACATCAACAACGCTGTTTCTGCTTATCATCAGGATTTGTACCACCATCCCCACACCACGGAACTTAAGAAAACAGAATTAAAGAATAAAAATTGAAATTCACCGCGACACACAAGGAAACCGACTTCCTACTCAATATATACACATGAACGTCAGCGCAATAACGTAAACAAAGGTCTATTAGGACAGAATAAACTATGCAAACATAGGTTAGTGGCTGGCAGTAGGTCTGATCAATCCCAGTTCATCAAGTTTGCGGCAATTTCGATGATGTCAGCTGATCTTTTTGCTTCAGCGCTCCATGGATGTCGTTCAAAACTAGTAAATACGCTAAAACTGGCACACATTTTTTTTTTTCTCATGGTGGCTTTAGAAAGGCGACGGTATAAACAATGTTAGATATACAAAAATATGTTTATTGAAGACAGTTTAAAGAAGCGATGCAAAATTGTGCAGAGCATGAGCATGTTTATCAGAAACGAACGCTGTTTAACGAGGTATGTTCTAGCTTTTTGCCACAAGAGGATGCTGCAGTGCTAAATTCGTTTTGGTTTTGAACAAAGGTAGAAAGTCAGAAGCCTGACTTTCGCTACAAAAATTTGCAAAACATAACGGACTATTTCGTACCCTCTTCCCTTCGTAAACTCTCCGCCTTTTCACTGTGATACATCCGCGGACCCCGCAGCGCGTCACCGGGCTACTAGCCACCATAACCGGGCCCCCGCAGCACGTCACCAGGGCCCAAGCGCACGTCACACGACACCGGACCTCACTTAATCCCTTTACCCCTAAGCTGACATTGCGGTGGAAGCTACGCGCTTACCGGACCAATCAGCCGCCTCCCTTTCATCACCTGACCTCATTCTCTGCGGGTCGGTATGCGCGAGAGGGCGTGATCACGTGGAAAATGTGTGGCTGGCCCAACGAGCACGTAGCTTCCACAGCACTGTCAGCTTCGGGGTGAACGGGGTGGGGAAAGCAACTAGTCGGAATTTTGAGCGACGGGCTAATCTTCTAGGGGGACAATGGCTGCGTCCGGGCTACACAAGCGAGATTCCGAGCAAGAGGGGACTCCCTTCTTTCCGTCTTCTTGAACTGTTTGGTACAATGCGCGATTTATGAGTTGAGGAGGAAAGCCAAACAAAAAAAAGTTGAAAAAGCGTTTCATGACTCCTTTAAAGGGGTCATGAAACGCTTTTCCAACTTTTTCCTGTTTCGCTTTCCTCCTCAACTCACAAATCGCGCATTCCACCAAACAGTTAAAGAAGACGAAAAGGGGGTGTCCCCTCTTGCTCGCACTCTCGTTTGTGTAATCCCGGACACATCCATTCTCCCCCTAGAAGATTAGCCCGTCGCTCAAAATTCAGACCAAAGTTGCTTTCCCCACCCCGTTCATTCCGAAGCTGACAGTGCTGTTGAAGCTACGTGCTCGTTGGGCCAGCCACACTTGCCACGTGAGCGTGGCAAATGTGGCTGCAGAGAATGAAGTCAGGTGATGAAAGGGAGGCGGCTGATTGGTCCAGCAAGCGCGTAGCTTCCACCGCAATGTCAGCTTCGGGGTGAAGGGAATAAGTGAGGTCCTGTTGCGTGTGACGTCAGTTTGGACCCGATAACGCGCTTTTGGGACCGCGGATGTATCACAGTGAAAAGGCAGAGAGGTTGCGAAGGGGAGGAGGTACGAAATAGTCCGCTCTGTTTTCAAATTTTCGCACTAAAAGTCAGGCTTTTGACTTTCTACCTTTTTTCTTTTGGTCCACTGAACGATGTGCTATTAGTAAAATCCCAATCTAAAATGATTTATCCCAACCCAAAAATCGTTTCATGGGCCCTTTAAAGGCGGACCAGCAGAAATATTCTTCCGCCTGGCGGAAGGTTCTCCTCGCCCTCTTTCTTTCTTGTATTGTAGCACGGCGAGGCGAGGGGAAAGGTCCCCTTTTGCGCCGGCTTCTTCTGAGAGGATAAGCCGAGAAAATCCCCATTTTGAGCGACGGGCGATGGGTGCGGCAGCAGCGACCTCGTGACTTAGAGGTAGCTTCAGATCCTATCGCGTAATCTGCCCCATTTTTTGGCGCTCACCAAGCCTAGCTTCTCGGGTGTAGGTTTTACGGAGCTGCAATTGTCGAAGGTCTTTGGTTTAGCCTGTGGCAAAATAAACACATACTTGAGAGCTGCGATGCATCCCCGCACCCATTGAAGGAACGTGTCATAGATATTTTTGGTTCATCAAGGAGCTCAAAAGACATGCGCGAGAAGTGGTGACTTGAATATGTAAGGATGACTTACATCTTCACAAAACATTCCATCTTTAAAAAAACGGCTTGTCACGCTCAAACCTGCCTCAAATTGGGATCGATGGAAAAGAAAGCGATGCACCAGGCGCGGGAATCTTCTAGAAGTTCTCTGATTTCTAGCAGCGAGCACAAATTATTGGAGAACTTTAGCAGACTATGTTTTCAGGCCACATATATTTAGCGGAAGCTCGCGCTGCCACTTCGATGCATTCTCTGAAGCACGCGCCTGAAGTGGCAGCGGGCCTTTGAAAACGATTTACTAAAATGCCCTGTTGTGTGCCTAACTCGCGGAACATGATGGCCAGCAAGATGTAAGAAATTCATATTTACACATTCCCAACAACCACCTGAGGTGAGAGGGCATCAAGGGTGGATGTCAATTTTAGAAAGTTTTAGTGGGTCACTTTTAGCCACTTAGATAACCGTACGGTCCGTACCCCAGAACGAAATGTAAGCTAGATTCGCTCTTTACATTCTTTATCGAGTGTGGCTTTGGAGCGGAAAAGACAATATTAAAACCCTTTTTGGCGAGTCCAACGTGTCGTGTTATGGTTCAACGTTGCTTGTATCGGTACCATAGCACGGGCCGCCACTTCGAAGTATTTGTGTGTCTCAAAGAAACTAAAGCAAAAGCAGACAATTTTTTTTAACGTTACACAGAATTGTATTTAGCATTGTAAAAAACTTTTAGGTACCCTACGCCACGCAGTTAGC